TATATATATATATATATATATATATATATATTCTTTTTAGATTCTTTCCCCGTACAGGTTATTACAGAATACTGAGTATAATTCCCTGTGCTATAGAGTTGGTCCTTGTTGGTTATCTATTTTATATACAGTAGTATGTATATGTTGATGTCAAACTCCTAATTTATCCCTCCTCTCTTTTCCCCCTTGGTAACTGTATGTTAGTTTTCTCTGCCTGTGGGTCTATTTCCATTTTGTAAGTAAGTTCATTTGTATTTTTTTTTTTTAGATCCCACATAAGTGATATCATATGGTATTTGTCTCTCTTTCTGTCTTAATTCACTTAGTAAGATAATCTCTAGGTCCATCCAGTGATCACTTATTCCTGGGTGAACTACTAAACTGATTAAACAGCTACTTTGTGCTAGTAAGGTTAAAAAAAAAAAAAAGAAGACATGGGAGTGAAAAACGGGCAAAAACTTTGAAAAAAAATTTGGAGTAACTCCAGAGATGGCACTTTGTCAGACCTTAATTATTCTCTGAGATTTCAAGCCTACGTTTCCACAGCTAATTGTGTAGTGCTACAAACCTGGACAGTGAAAAAACTAGCAGCAAGGGCAGAATGAGTGAAGGCCTCCCCCATAATCAGGATGTACAGCAAGTTTAAGGCTGAAGCATTATTAATAGCTCTGGCTTGAAAAATATGTGGAAAAACTTAATCCCTTAGGGGCATATTTAATCATGCAAGAGTTTTCCAGTATTCCCTTTATGTGCAGGAAAGTTAATCTGTGTTACAAGTATAAGCAGCTTATAAAACGTAGGAGGAGTTTTTTTTCCTCTACAAACATCTTAACCTTCTTAAAGGGGAAAAATGTGTTTTAAATTATCAAAAAAAAGATACTATCACAATGAATTTGAGCACTGCAACAACCTGTCATAAAACACAGAACACCTCTTAAGTAAATTATATAATATGTGGTCTTGTACACATTACATTTTGGAAGGCTGTAAGTATTCTAAAGGTACTTTGCTAAGTAGAGAAATAATAATGACTCTTTCAGTATAAAGATACAGATCCTTTCCTAACGGACACAATTTTCCTTACTTAACTATTCTGTAAGGCTAGGTTATCTTTATTCATGATGTATATGAGCACATACCCCTGGACAAAGATGGTAGAATCTCTTCTTAAAACATGATTTTAGGAATATCACTTCTCTTGCTGAGACTCTTTGGTGGCTACTAGATCAAAACTATACTGTCCAGCTAGGCATTTAAGTCCCTCCAGAATCCTCCAACTGTTGGACGGCTCTCTGTGGAATGCCTTTCACAGAGTCTAAGATCTCCTGACTACACCATGCAATGACTTTCAGTTCATGAGAAGCAGAATGGATTCACAGTTTGCAACTCTTGTCTGTTATTCTTAAACAAGGACAAGAGGAACTGTGTGCCCTACCTAAAAAAATAGCTAATATATTTTCAAAAGGGGATGGGAACACGCAGTGTCTGCAAAACTCTTATTTAAAGTCTTTGTTGTTTAGAAATTGTACTTATTTGCTCTTGATGATTTAAAAATATACATGGGTCATGATTTCTAAAAAAAAACTTAGGAAAAGCTTGCCCAATATCCCAGATAGGGTAATAAAAGAGTATGGCTAGAAGCCACCAGGACCCTTAGTTCCCATCCTATGAGAATCCATGAAAGAAGAGTCAAAACACTCCCTTCTGAGGGACAGTCACCCAGTCGTCTGCAGAGACTTTACTTCAAGTTGAGGGCAAAACTCTCTGTTTTCCAGTACTTTTGCTGAGGGAGCCATGCCAGGGTAGAGAAGCCCCCACTTTGGATAATGAGCTGGAAGCAGGCTAGTAACACCAGGAAGCCCCTTGATCAGTTTCTGTCTCTTGGTGC